GCCCTGGGATCCTTGCTAGTGGCCTGGGATCCTTGCTAGTGCCTTGGGGTCCTTGCTAGTACCCTGGGATCCTTGCTGGTGCCCTGGACATTGCCTGCTGTAAAACATTGGTCCCATGGCTGGTGTTTTGAAGCTCTGTGATGTCACTCCTTATGTTGACAATATATAATAATAAAATTGCGGATCCAGGGGCCAGAGCTCTGTCCATAATTGTGATCTTTCAAGAAACCTGTGGTCCATCAATGTTTCTACAATCTACACACCAAACTCGTGATGACAGAGATGGCATGTGACAGTGGAGAGCTTGGAAAAAAAATGACATAAAAAAAATTATTCTGAAGGAAACAAGCCACACAACAGTATTTCTTTGTTGGCGATGAGGCGGTTAAGTGATGTCACACAGAGCATCTCTCTTCAAGGTTAAAAGCCTCACCTCTTTCACTTTACTTTTTAACTCAACAGCAACATGTTTTCTTAGTTTTTGACTTCTATGCCAGAGTTTATCGAGGTGGCGTAGAATCTGGCAGTTTTCCAGTTTATCCTAAATCATACCAAAATAAAAACAAACAGGCGTTGAACGAGAATGAAAGGAATGTCTGAGATAAATGGCATAGCTTGTGTCAGGTGTGTTTGAAGGATGGGTGGCGGTCATAGGGGCCGGTGGCACACTTCCGTCACTCTGTCCCGGGGCAGCTGTGGCTACAGTAGAACCACCATGTATGGAGTGAAAGAATAATACCAAGTGAAGCAAGTGTCCAAAAGAGCGCTGTATAAAACCAGTCCTTATTAACATTATGCAGGTGTTTTGCAGCAGACTTGTTTTAAGCACAGTTAGGGGTGTTGTGGACAAGTGGAATTCACGTTATAAAAGGCAGAATAGATTCGACGGACTTTCACTTTGTTTATACATGTCTTTAAGATGAACCTGGATGTTCTGTGTTTATACCTCATCACCTAACATCCTCATAAAACCAACTGCAAAGAAACAAAATGAAACAAACACGTTAACATCATACAGCACTGTAAAAATTGATGAAAAATCAGTCAAATTTGGCTCAATGTATCTTCATTCAAGCACATTCTGACTGCCTTATAACTAGATTTGCCAATGGGACGAAGCAAAATGATCTTATTTTAAAAAGATACAAGAATTTTCTCCTTTGGAATGAGAAAACTAAATGGCTTTGTCCAATTGGCAAATCTAATTCAGATAAATACCACTCGATTGAAGCCATAATCTCATTTTTGTATTGATTTTAGTGACATTTCTGACATGAATTAACATTGTATTTCCATGAGACGAGCAGGTGACAGACCATCCTTCAGAAAACTTACATAGTTCAGCTTTAATGAGCGGCTGGTAGTGAGTGACCCAGGGGGGAACAAAGCATAGCCTTCAATAAATATATGCACTCAATGCTATATACAGCGTCTATACACTGGCACACCAGAGAGAGGGTGAGGGCTGTGTGTTCTATTGCAGTCAGATGCATGGTGGTTGAGAGAAAAGCCTTTTGTGTTTTAATAAATAATATTTACTCCCCCAAAAAGTCCCTTAATTGACCAAGAAAATGACCAAGTCCAGCTTTGGTGTTGTGAGTGTGGGTTTGTGATGGCACTTGGAATGACAGGAGTGGTTCTCAACTGGTGGGTCGCGACGGTTTTGAAATCTACCACACTGTAAAAGTAGAAAAGGTTCCTGAAAAAAAGTGATTTCACTTGAAATTAAGAAATGTGTTTTTTAACTTGGAATGAAACAGAAACCAGCTGAGAAGTAGATAAAAGATTAAATAATTAGGTCAAAACTACCATAAAAATTGTAAATAACATGGTAATGGTAATAACATTTATTTTATTAAGAAATGAATTCCCTTTTAAGATTTGAGTTTGTATCAATGCACTGGAATCCTGAGTCTGATGAGTTTGTGTTTGTTCATGATCATTAACTCTAGTATTATTCAAACACAGTAATTCACATTATCGACTGTAATATATTAGACTTTGCTCTTTTTTGGGTCTTGGCACCGTTCCAGTTCAGAACCACTGACAGAGAGAGAGAAAGGGAACGGGAGAAGGAGAAGAGGAGAGAAAGAGAGGAGAGCGGGAGGGAAAGGGAGCGGGAGAGAGAGAGAGAGAGAGAGGGGTAGTGAGAGACTCAACCTAAAAGTATTGAGTTTTAGAGTAGCAGAGGAGGATCCAGTGTGGTACTTTAGAGATATTTTAAAGGTTAAATGGTCATTTGGCCCAATGTATTTTCTCACATATATTTCTACGGCGAGGCTCTGACAGAGAATTTGTATCGACATGAGTTCTATTCACAAACTTTTGAGTTGAAAACAAAACAAAAACAACTGCTTTTGGCACTTTTGATGAATAAAAGCTGCGGTACCTAACTTTTATACCGCAAATAGTTTTAATGAAAAGAGAGTGAGAGAGAAAGAGGACAAAGTGAGAGAGTGGGGAAGAGAGAGAAGGAGAGAGAGCGTGACATGAGAGTGACATGCTTTCATACACGCATGCCAAGTATAAAATGTTTTCTAAGACGACATAGACAGAATGTGGGCAAAAAAGTCAGGTACCTCACCTTTAAACTTCCTTTCACACGAAAAAATACGAATACAATCAATGGAACTGCTTGTCGTTTTCGGTTGCACAGAAATCTTTGCGTTCAAGAGAGCAGATGCGAGTGAGTTTTTTTTTATTCTTCTCTGACGTACAACAGTTAGAACGATTAGCCGTTGTTATCGTAATGTGTGAAAAGGTTTTTGTAACATTGGGATTGTACAAAGCTTGCACAACATGATTTCACTTTCACATCCTGCTCTCGTCGCCTCGTTAGCAGTAATGACAGTGAGGGGATTGGATTGTATTGTGGTAATTGTACAAATATATGCAGTAGAAATAATAATATCATTGCAAAGGGAAACGCTGCTGGGGGTGAGTTTTAAACTGTTTTCATGTTTGTCAGAGGGATTAAAGGAGACATATTATAGGACAGAGGTGATCAGAGACATTGATGTACAACATTTATGAACAGTGGTCATCCCTCTCCTTGTTGCATTTCAGGTTTAATTCTCTGATTTTTTGTTGGGGAATTGACTGCTGTTGTGATTTTGGGCAGTAACACTGAAATGTACCCACTGTGTGACGAATAAAGGATCTCTTAATCTTAATCTTGCGTGTTTGTATAATCCACCCACTAAAAATGGGTGGGTGATGGTTCCTCAAAATGAGTTCTCATGACTTGGGCAGTCCTTTTCAACTACAGAAAACTGAGACCCGATCCCAGAGACTGAGAACAGATTCCTGAGTCCAAGAACCGATCATAGAGGCTGAGAACCGATCACAGACAGAGACATCTCCATCTGACAGAGACCGAGAACCGATCCCAGACACCGAGAAACAATCCCAGAGACAGAAAACGGACCCCAGAGAGCGAGAACCGATAGAAGACACAGAGAACCAATCCCAGAGGCAGAGAACCATCCCAGAGAACAACAGCCGATCGCAGACACCGAGAACCGACCCCAGAGACCTAGAACTGATCCCAGACATTGGGAATCAATCCCAGAGACCGAGAACTGACCCCAGACACAGAGAACCGATCCCAGACACAGAGAACCGATCCCAGACACAGAGAACCAATCCCAGACACAGAGAACCAATCCCAGACACTGAGAACCGATCCCAGAGACTGAAATCTGATCCCAGACACAGAGAACCGATCCCAAAGACCGAGAACCGATCGCAGGCCCTTCTTGAACAGGTCAGAGTGAGTCTGGCGTGGTAATGTCCTTTTGGATCAATAAAATGGTCGCTAAAACGTCAAAGTTGACCAATCTACATCCATAGACTACCGCTTTCTCAGCTGAAAATGTTCCATCCTTCAAATAAAAAAGGACTTGAGTTTATTCCCAGTTTGGCTTCTACAATAGCTTGAGCGCCTGCCACCACAGCCTCTGGGGAGATGCCGTTTACTGGAGGTTTGTCAAAGATGAAGCCACTTAGCTGTATTTCTTTTGAAGTTTAATCTTTTAGCCCCATTCAGGCTAATATCAGGAATGTCTGCCTTCAATTTGACTTGAATTTGGTCATTTGATTGTATTGTATTGTACACAATCTACACTTAGAGGTGTAGATCTTGCATACATTTTACTTGGAGCTACTCCTTTTTGAACGATTTGAATCTCAAATGTGTTTTCTCATTTAAAATATGTGTGTTCTGATCATGTTCAAAACTTTACATTAAAATTTCACTGTGCCATGTTAAATATTGCAGTTTCCCAAATTTCCCAAGTTCAAGTTAGGTGGTAATAAAAGTAAAGAAAATCAAGAACATGTTTCGGGTCCAAACACGAGATATTGGATAGTGGATATTTGCAACTGCTGTAGGTGTAATGTAACGATATGACGATTTTTGTCACCAGTTTTACCATTTTGAATCAGGACGCTCAATAATCCATATAGTGACTTTCTGTATTGTGTATGGTATGGTGTCCCCACATAATATGTCTCCTTAAATCTCAAACAAAAAAAATAGTTAAAAAAAACATAAACGGAAGATATCGGAAATATCTTGCCGCTACATCCCCCACAATGTTCCACCTGAAACGATGATATTATTAAATCGTAAAACAAGTGAAGTGATGCGGAGAAGAGACGAGCAGACACTCTCGCTCTTTCATGGTCACGAAATCTCCCTTTGAACCTTGTGCCTTTTCCTACCTGCTGCGTATTCCAAAACCAGTGAGTGAATAAATACTCAGTTCAGTCAAATGTCAATGCGCTAAACAAAGTGAACCAGCACTTTTCTTCTTCTCTTTCTCGGCTTCGTCTGCTTCGTTCGTTCGTAGCTTTTTTGCCGTTGGCTGGAAGACCGGTTTGGGAGGTTTAGTTTGAGGGGAGGTGGATTATATTTTCGTTTTTTCAATTGGATGAAGCTGGATTTATTTTTTTCTAGTGTACATCAAAGTCCTCAGAAGGGGGTCAGGGTGTCACTTTCATCTTTCCACTTGGGAATAAGCCACAGGCCGTCGACTGGAGAGGCTCGGGCTGGATGAAAGATGGCCGCCGGTCTGCCGCGGGAGCCTTCTGGGAGAGCTGGAGGTTTTTGAGAGGCTATGTTTGGGTTTGGCAGGCGTAGCAGAGGTGGCGCGCGGCCGGTTGGCTTTGGCGGTGGCTTTGGTGGTGGCTTTGGTGGTGGCTTTGGTCGCTGCCTGTTTGGAAACACGGGTGGCGTTGGCCGCGAGGGTTTCCAGGAGCTGGGAGGCCGACCCGAAGCGAACGTGCTCCTCTGGGTCGAGCGCCTCGGAGAACAGGGAGCCTCGGCGACTGCAGGACTCGCAGCAGAGCTTGTTGTAGCCGGGGATGGAGCAGTAGCGAGCCAGGACCTCCATCTGACAGAAGATGGATTTGTCTCCGTGGCAAGGCTCATCTGGACGGCAAGAAGAGAAATATCACAATCAGTCATTTCAAAAGGAATTCACAAAGAAGGAGTTGGTTTTAGCTCATGGTGCAAACAAGTTATAAAAGTCAAAACAGACCAAATTCTGTGACTGATTAATCGGCTGTTGGTAAATCAACAATTTTGTGGTTTGAGGCGAATGTAAAAATGACATTGATATTTGATTGAAGAAGTAATAGTAGTTTATTTCATCACCATATGTCATTATGAACATCAGATCTTGGGTCATGTGTTTTCAAAGATCTCATACTTTTTACAATAAGAAAACAAACTAATTTAAATTCTGCTTATTGGTTCTCTTAAACCAATAATGGCAACATGTAGCACAACATTTAAACTTCTAAATAATGTTAGTTTTTAACAATCAAATTTTAACAATATAAATTATGTGACGCTTAATCAAATTCAAGACGACATTGTACGGTTTCTCACAAACGATGGTATCCTCACTAAGGAAAAAATATTGAGTGGCAAAAGTATTATTCCAGCTGTAACTTATAATGTTGAATATGCTTTGCGACAGGACGAGTGCAACTTACAATTTATCCTCCAGTGCGACTTTGTGCATTGTAAAACCAGTTAAGTATCCTCCATCTGTAGCCTAACTAACTGAAATCATACAAATTTGAACTAGGAAATACATTGACCCTCTACCCTTCCACTCACCTCTAAGTGTCAAATCATAGTGCCCTTTGTAACTTTATAACAAAAGATGGAGATATTTTCTAATAGGATGAGGACAGTGTGTTGTCTGGTTTGTTTACGACAATTTACTCTAAGAAAACTTGTTCTTTTGGGACAAACAAAATGAACAATAATAGTATGGCAAAAATAAGAAGTTTAGAGGTTAGAATACAGGTCATATAAAACTAGGCAAGACAAGGCAAGTTTATTTGTATAGCACAATTCATACACAAGGCAACTCAAAGTGCTGAACAAGATAGCATTAAAATCATAAATAATCACAGAACATTAAAAAGAAAGATAAAAATATAAAATCCCTCAGTTGTATGCACAGCTAAACAGCACCGTTTTTAACTTGGTTTTAAACATTGTCAGAGAGGAGGCCTGTCTCACATCTTCAGGAAGAATGTTCCAGATTTTAGCAGCATGAATCTGAAAAGCAGCCTCCCCATGTTTAGTTCTGACTCTGGGCACTAACAGGAGTCCAGTCCCTGTGCTCCTCAGAGTCCGGGCTGGTTCATATGGGACTAACATGTCACTAATATATTTTGGTGCGAGGCCATGGAGAGACTTGTACACAAGCAGAGCTGTTTTAAAGTCTATTCTCTGAGCCACAGGAAGCCAGTGCAGAGACCTGAGGACCGGACTAATATGGTCGTACTTCCTGGTTCTAGTCAGGACTCGAGCTGCTGCATTTTGAATGTACTGCAGCTGTTTTACAGCCTGTTTGGACAGACCTGTGAGCAGGCCATTGCAGTAGTCTAACCTACTGGAGACAAATGCATGGATAAGAATCTCCAAGTCTGCTTTAGACACTATGTTTTTGATCCTGGAAATGTTTTTTAGATGGTAAAAAGCTGCTGATGTTACTGATTTGATGTGGCTATTAAAATTTAAGTCTGAGTCCAGTATTACCCCTAGATTTCTGACCTTGTTTGAAGGTTTTAGGGAGAGAGACTGTAGATGACAGATGACGCTCTCTCTTTGTTTCTGGGGACCAAAGACAATCATTTCAGTTTTGTCTGCGTTTAGCTGAAGGAAGTTGTTTTGCATCCACTCACTGATCTGTTGGATACAGTGAAGGAGTGAGTCCACTGGTCCATGTTCTCCTGCAGTCAGTGAGACATAGATCTGAGAGTCGTCTGCATAGTTATGATAGGAAACTTCGTTTCTGCGTATTAACTGACCTAACGGCAGCATGTAGAGATTGAAAAGAAGAGGTCCCAGGATCGACCCCTGTGGTACTCCACAGGTCAGGGCCATATGATCTGAGACACAGTTTCCAATCTCCACAAAGTACTTCCTGTCTTCAAGGTAAGACCTAAACCAACTTAGGGCGGTGCCAGCGACGCCAACCCAGTCCTCTAGTCTCTGTAAGAGGATCTCATGGTCGACAGTATCAAAGGCAGCACTTAGATCTAACAGGATTAGGATTGAGACTTTGCCTGCGTCAGTGTTTAGCCGGATATCGTTTGTAACCTTGACGAGAGCAGTCTCAGTGCTGTGGTGGGGTCTAAAGCCGGACTGAAACATATCAAATGAGTTGTTGATTATAAGAAATCTATTTAGCTGTTGGTAGACAACTTTTTCAAGGACTTTCCCCATAAATGGCAGATTTGAGATGGGACGGTAGTTGTTAAGTACCGTAGCATCCAGACTGCTCTTTTTAAGCAGGGGCCTGATGACTGCAGTTTTCAGGGCCTTTGGGAATATTCCAGAATGAAGGGACATGTTTACTATCTGTGTGAGTGAAGGTAACAGACTGCTCAGAACAGACTTTAGAAATCTAGTGGGTAGTACATTCAGGCTACATGTGGAGGCGCTCAGACTGGAGATTATCTCTTGGACAGTTTGATCATTTACAGGTGCAAAGTAAGTTAGCTCAAAGAGCCTTTTAGGCTGTTGGATGGTTATCTGTGGATTGGAGACAATGGCGTTTTTGATGCCTTGAACCTTGTCATTGAAAAAATTTGCAAACTCGTTACATTTACGTTTGGAAGTTAGCTCTAATGGCATCTGAAAGGGGGGTTTGTTAATCTATTAACTGTTGAAAACAGAACACGCAGATTGTTGCTGCAGCCTTCAATCATTTCAGAAAAATACCTTTCTCTCGTACTACGTAGCACCTGGTTAAACTCGCACAACTTATCTTTGAAGATCTCGTAATCAACCTGGAGGTTGGACTTGCGCCACTTCCGCTCGGCCCTCCGGCACTCTCTCTTTTATGCCCTGACCGAGTCTGCTTTAGCCCACGGCGCCTTCTGCTTATTTTTCACTATTTTAACCTTCACAGGGGCAACGGTATCCAGAACATTCAAAACACTAGAGGTGACAGAGTTAAACAGTTCATCTACAGTAGAATACGATGCATTCTCAAAGTTTATCATTCCCATAAATAGTTCACCCGTATTTTCATTTATGTGTCTTCTTCGTGCAGTTGCAGAGTCCACTGGTGGTTTGTTAGTGAAACACATGTCAAAAAATACACAAAAATGATCCGAAAGCGCAACATCGACCACGTTTACATTTGAAATATTCCCCCCCTTAGTAACTAACAGGTCTAGAGTGTGCCCTCTGCTGTGGGTGGGGCCACTCACATGCTGAGTGAGACCAAAAGATTCAAGAACAGAACTCAGCTCTTTTGCCTTTCTGTCAATAACATTATCCACATGAATATTAAAATCCCCTGTAATAACTAAGCTATCAAAATCTGTGCATAAAACTGAAAGCAACTCCGTAAAATTATCAATAAATCTGTGACATGACTGCGGTGGCTTGTATAGGACAATGAAGAGTATTGGACGAGATTGTTTTTGTTTTATTTTAAAAGACACATATTCAAAAGACGGAAACTTCCCAAGAGACATTCTATGGGAGACAAAGTGGTCTCTGAAAATGGCAGCTAAGCCTCCTCCTTCTTTGTTTCCCCGTATTTCAGATTCAAATTTGAAATTTGGTGGTGATGCTTCTATTAAAACTGCCTTTTCTGTATTTTGGTCAAGCCATGTTTCAGCCATGAACATAAGATCTAGATTATAAGAACAAATAAAATTATTGATTAAAAAAGACTTGTTACAAAGAGATCTGACATTTAGCATAGCAAGTTTCAAAGTTTCAGTATCAGCGGTTGTGGTCGGCTGATTCTCACATGGAACAAGAATTAGATTTTCCTGATTAGACTGATTAACTTCAGATGTTTTTCTGTAATGTATTCTTTGTGTTATCACTAAAGGAATGGCACAGGTGGCTTCATGACAGGGCCCCAGCCGGGTCTCTCCTCTAACTAGACTGCCAGTGGCTGCGAAGCAGAGACCCTGTGCATCCTAGTGTTTAGAGAAAAGAGGGGATGTCTGTGCCCTTTGCTTCTTCTTTCTCCCTTTCGACGGCTGCACGCGCTGCGCAGGCTGAGGTCTTAGGGCAGATGCAAAGTTATCCATCAACACTTTTACTCCGTAGTTGTTCAGATGTGGGCCTTTTTCTTCAAAAAGCACCAGCCCCTCACTGATCCTCCTGCAGGTGGTGAGTCCACAGGAGCCGACTGAAACCCACTAGTAGCACAGAGGCTAACACAAGCTAACGAGGACATGGAAAGTGACAATGAAATTGGCTCAAACATGCACAATATTAGTCGCCTCACCTTGGAGCTCCGTGAGAGCGACCGTGCCACCATTGCAGATCTACGAAAAGAAGTCCTTCGTCTCACCGCAGAGTTGAATGAGAAACAATCTCTAGTATCCAAACTTTTTGAAGTCGCTGGTGGGCAGCATTCACGGCTTATGTCACTGAGCGCTGCATATTGTGACACTGTCGTGTGGGAGAGATCCGTCAGCTCCGGACCCTCCTGTTCTACACCTAAGCGCCCGCTTACGAATAACGAGCCCGCGGATTCCGAGGAGCCATCCTGCGCCGTGGCCCATGTCCTTAGTCTGGCAAACCGCTATGCAGCCCTCTCCACTGACATCCCGGCCCCCTCAGCAGAATCCCTGGACACTGCAGCGTACTCTACTGCTCGAGGATCCAAGTCCACTACGAGGAAAACGCTCCTAAAGGAAGCAGTCCTCAGGCGAAAGAGCGGTCCACCGGCCATGTTGACCCCAGTGCAGCTGAATTTACAACTGTTAGAAGAAGACACATACATGAAAACACAAGTGAACTGTTCATGGGAATGCTAAATTTTGAGAAAACTCCATGCTCTACTGTTGATGAATTGTATAACTCTGTCACCACCAGTGTTCTGACTGTTCTGGACGCCATTGCTCCTGTGACGGTTAAAATAGTTACCAGTA